GTATTTAGCTCCTGAACACCGCAGGCAATAGAATATGATTTCCGGCTGTTTAGGAGAAAGAAAATTTTAAAAATAACACTGGGTTCCCCTTAGCCAGCTCGTTGAGCCCACTCTAACCAGACCACGACACTGGTCGGCGGTCACAGTCCGGTTCATTTCCACCGCCTTAACCCTAGCCATAACCCAATGCTCAAATACCATTGCATCACAACAGTGCCTTCTCACATTGACATACCATTGCATCATAACAAAAGATGTCACATTGATATAGATATGCATTAGAACAACACACACTAAAGCCTACATTCTACTTCACCATAAGTACCAGCAGAACAAGCACCAGCACAAACAGGTTGGCTAGACTAACATAAAACACCAGTTCACCTAGTAACATAGGGGTATGTTAACTCCCTGGGTAAGAGATTCCCGACCAAAGGACCCCTCGACCTATCCCTCCAGGACTGCTGGGGGGCTACACCCCTCAGGTGCGCTCACACGCACCTTTCGGTCCAGGACTAGGCGGAGCCCGAGCACGACCTCTGCCTCTGCTCGGGGCTTGCCCGTGCCCCAGGCTCCCGATCGACGGGAGTCCAAGCCCGATCCCCTCAAGCCGGACGCCTTCGCCACCAAGGAAGCCTCCGGAAGGTGCTCCTAGTGGAGGCCGGTCCAAGCCGACAAAAGCCTGACGGTCAGAGCATCAAAACAGAGCAGTCGGACGACGCTCAGGGCTTCTCCGGCTCCACGACAACACCAAGGTCCATCCACGCCGCTGCAACACCCTCCCTGACTCCGGCGCACGTAGACAATACATTAAACTCCCCAAACTACCATGTACCCGACCTACCTCGATATATAAGGGGAGGTCGGATCCTACATAGGGGATTTCGAACAGATCATTCAAATCATCACAATCAACAGCTCGAGCTCTGCACCGAGAGTAGAGCCACCCCGAGAGGAGTACCGAGAGCCCCTCCCTGTTTCCATCGTCTTCTTCCTCTCCGGCGAGGAAGAGACCTCACCACTGACGAGCTTAGGATTAGAACCAAGCGATCCCCTACCGAATCTCTCTTAAACTCTACTGTAACCCCCTGATTTGGGTGCTCTTGAATACAAGGGTCATCAAACTGCTGGACGTAAGGCCCCGATAGCCCGAAACAGGATAAGCCTCTGTGTCCTCTGTGTATTCTTTGTGTTCTCGAGTCCAACCGAGCCACCGGAGACCTCACACTCATTGACACCCGATGAACAACAATGCTTGCCGTGGTTTCGACCCCGTGACACCTAGCCTATCAACTTTCTTGCCCAGATCTTGCATCTTGTCAGCGGTGTCATTCTCAGCATCCATGAGAGATGTGACTGCATTGTCCAGACTGGTAATGCTTCGTTCAACTCCCTTCACTACTTCCACCAAGTGCTCTGTTGCATCTTTCATGGCCTCGTTCAAAGACACATTTGTCATAGACACATGAGGACGGATTCCACGGCTTGAAAAGCAAGTCGGCAGCAAACCTTGCTGGACCAAGAACTCGACATAGCGCCCTTCAAACATGTAGAATGGAAATGCCATTGAAGTCCGCAAAAGAAAGGCAACAGATCCACAAATCGAACTCAAACCAGATCACATGTCCAACACAGCCAAAGATATGCACTGATACAACAAGAACCACTTACATGCTCAAGCATTTGGCACTTGTAGAAACTCTTCCCCTTGCTAGTCAGCTTCTGCGAGATGCGCCCTATCAGCCATGTCCCGCACTTGTCGCAATACGCTAAGGGCAAGATGCCTTGCACATCCCGGTATGCTCCTAGTGCATGCGGGCCTGAGGCCACACCCGATTGGGAGCTCGTTGCCATCCTACACGAATCCTAGGGTTTCAAGGTAGGAGAAGAGAGAGGACTGCAGCTCCACTGATGAACGCGAGGAAGAAGAAAACGTGAGGAAGAAGAAGCCACCGGTGCCAAGTATATGTTGATCCGGTACCGTAGTTACACTAGTATAGAAATCATTTTTACAGACGGCTCTCATTTCTAGTAGAAATGGACGACATAGGAAACCGCTCGTAACCTTTGCGGGGAGCACCGTAGCTAATGAATCATTGTTGGAAATCAATTTTCAGGGGTAGTTCTATTAAGTAAACCGTCACTGAAAATATACCTATTTTCGGGACAGTCGGCTTAAAAGAACCGCCCTTGAAAATAAGATTTTCATGGATGGTTGCTTATGTCAACCATACCTAAAAGTGGGTGATTTCTAAGGACGGTTTTGTTAAGTCCGCCGTCCCTAAAAATCGATTTTCAAGGGTGGTTGACTAAGTCAATCATTCTTAAAAATAGCTGCAGCACAAATAAATTCATATGTTTTTCAAATGAAGACAAAATTTATATCAAAATTGTAGATCCCGATGACATCTAAAACTTTGTAGTTGATAATTTTTTTGTTTGAGATCATTTAGGATTCCAAATATATGAATTAAGTTCTTAGATTTTGAATTTTAAATTTTGAATTTTTCAGATGACCTTAGATGGAGATATGTTATATATCAAAGTTGTAGTGCTCAACAAGATCTAAAACTTTGTAGTTGAAAATTTTCCCATTAAGATTGTTTACAAGTCAAAATATTGATTACAAGATTCGTATATATTAGTACAAATAGATAACAACATATAAGCAATCAGAAATGACTGTGTGGTACGGTGGTAGGGGGCTGAATGCGTAAGGCGAGAGGTCACTGGTTTGAATCCTAGCGGCTGCACTCTGGTAGAATAGTGAAATTAATTAAGAGCGAGTGGTGGTTGGTCCTTCGGGTTTCCGTCCACATTATTTTTTTTTCATATTTTTACAACTTCTAAATGTTTTTTTAAAAAATCTAAAAATTATTTTTAAGGACGGTTGACTTAAGTCATCAACTCTGAGAATCAATTCTTAAGGACGATTGTCTCCCTAAAAATCAATTTGTAGGGACGATTTTAAAAGTGTCAAAATAGCTTATTTTTGCAATCACTGCATAGTATCGGTTTTGCTTACTGACTACGAAAATCATTTTTGACCGTTTGTAAAAAACATTTGTCTACTAGTGCTAGCTGGTGCGACCCAACCATATGTGCCTTGGCTCTGGCTCTAGCAGGGGCAAAAAGTGCAGGCCAAACATCTTTTTCTCTCCCAAACAACCGGAAATCATATTCTATTGCGTGCGGTGTCCAGGTGCTAAATACACCGCTTGTAATAGTACTAGCGGTGCTCACTTGCAATTTCAAGAAAAGAATGGTGTCCGCTAGGAAAATTTGCCCAACATTTATCTCACTGACTTTATATGTTAGACTCTAAACTTACTAATTCTCTTTACAGAATCGTGAAGTAGGCGTACCTTGGATTCCATTAGTACCAGCTCCTCCGATGACGAACTAAATTTCTAAGCAGCCAACAGATGCATCGTGTGTAGCTACCGAGAGCAACAATTACCGTTGTAAAATAAGATATGCACCCAATAGAATACTCGACTTAAACAAGTCTTGTACTATAATATATTAACCACCACCGGCCATTGAACTATAGTCCAGCTAGCAATACAAGATGCTGGTCTATGCTTGGTCTTCTGTATAATATATGCCAATCAAGGCAAAGCAAGCAGTCCTTTGTCTAACTATAAAAAAAATGTCAATCTACGGTTGCTCTTGTACAATATGCCAATGAAGATAAAGCAAACACCCCTCTACCAGAACATCCGTATGTATGAAAACAACTCCACTGATGCAAAACAGTATTAAAAAAAGCATCACAAAGATGCATGTTACAAACACACACAGTTCTTACATTCCTGCCTCATCATATTTGCATATAAACGTCACTTCACAGATCCTTTGAACCACTACGCAGCAACTAGTGAATTTTAGTCGCAAGACAGACAGCACGCTCTCAGTTTATTTAGTGCCACGGTACTGTTGGCAGACAAGCAGGTCCTCATCGGCCAAGCATCAATAATATAAGCAGAATGAGGACGTCCTCAGTGCTTGCAAGCAGAAATAAAATAGTATAAAGAGGCGAGGAACACGGTGCAGTATGACACTCGATCCATGTGGGTCAGACAAGGAGACCACTGGTCCACTACACTAGGGCGCGTCGCACGCGGTAGACCACATGGTGGTGCGTGCCATGTGCTCTCCCTCGTACATACATCAAATACGTACTTTTAACCTGGATACATGCATGTTACCATGCTTGCTGGGGCTAGCCGGTCTCTAGTTCACCTCTCGACCCCCTTCCGGCCGGAGCACACAGGCATACCCATACAGGAGCAAGGAGCAAGGAGCAAGCAAGCGGCGCACGTCGTCTCCACTCTCCGGCCGGAGGACCCGATCCTTCTTCCAGCCATACGATACGTATGTAATATGTGCTTCCCTTAACAGCAGCTTATAGTTATAGCCACGTCACACAAAGCTTGTGTCTACTCCTCTCCTCGCACAACCGTTTGTTAACCGAGGCCAACATGGATCGATATCATTTCATCGTGGTCCATTTTTCAAATCAGATTTTGTACGTTCGACGGCACAAGCTAGGAAGCCTTCTCAAAGCTTGCAGTGTTTCTCGTACCTCTTGTACTATATATTCCTGTCCGATTTATTGGTATTTTTACTAAATAACCCCGCGAGGGAATTTATGCATTACTTGCCTCTCTTTAATTTCTGCATTAATAGCCAGTAGTTGCCCAGTTCACATCTCTCTCTCTTCTAATCTAGAGCCTTTGCTAGTGCGCTCGATCTGTCTACATACAGTCCCATCTAGCATCCCCTAGATCGGACGCATCCGTTCATCGCGATATATGTCATCGTTGGTGAGCCTTTGCTTTCATGTTTTCGTCCTTAAATCTGTGATTCATAAGTAAGGTGGTCTTTGTACTAGCACAAATAATCTTTTTTTTTCTATGTATAAAAGGTATCATACGTTTCAATCTTCTCACCCAGGGGTCATGACTCATGACTAACAGAAATTACAGGGCATAACTATGGTGTCGGTGCCAGATGATGTATCATTTCAATTCATAAGGGGAATTACTGATGACTTCTCAGAGGAGCGCATACTTGGCCAAGGAGCATTCGGAGTTGTTTACAGAGTAAGATTCGGGCATGCTCAATTTATGCTAACAACAGTAATATGTCTGGCCAACAAAAAATGTGTAGTGTTTCGAAATGATATGATATTACTATGTCAATGTGGACAGCAACAATATTCTCAGGACGTGGTAACAACAAACAAAACAAACCCAACCCCTACATTTCCTGCTGTACCAAATATAAGGGGCCAAGTTACACTAAATATTGACAACATATATTTGGCAGGGAGTCACTAAAGATGGACATGATGTTGCTGTGAAGAAGTTGAAGCCTTGTCTTGCCGACCTAGGCAACAAGCAGTTTCGAAATGAGTTTGATACCCTCACGAAGCTGACCCATCAAAACATTGTAAAGGTTCTTGGCTATTGTTATGAAACAAAGAAAAAACCTTTTATCATGTTAGATGGAAGTAAGGTTTTTGTTGATGAGATACATGCGGCGCTCTGCTTTGAATACTTGCACAATGGGAGTCTACAAAACCATCTTTCTGGTACAGCTGCTCCATTTTCAGTATGCCTACAAAGAATATTGTCTTCTATATTGCATTTGATTATTTTTTTTGTTTACTACTATAGATGAGTGTTGTGAACTTAAGCTTGACTGGCACATGCGGTTCAAAATAATCAAGGGGATTTGTGAGGGTCTAAAGTATATGCATAAGGATTTAGAAGAACCTATTTACCATTTTGACCTCAAACCTGACAACATATTGCTAGATAAGGATATGGTTCCAAAGATTGCAGATTTTGGTTTGTCCAAGATCTTTGGTCAAGACATAGCACGGACCACCCACAATCCTTATGGAACACTATAAGTTGAATTCCTCTACTGAACGCATCCCTTTTATAACCCAACAAACTATGTGCATTACAAATTCATTGCATGCGACACAATGCAGTGGTTACCAGCCACCAGAATACATCCATGGAGGTGAAATCTCAGGAAAGTTTGACATATTCAGCTTGGGTGCTATAATGATAAGGATAGTGTCAGGGCCTTTGGGCTACCCTGAATGTTCAGACATGTCTTCAAATGAGTTCATTGATCAAGTGAGAAATGATACGTCTTAAAATCAGGACCATTTTTATCTAAATCCACGTCATATTTACATTGAAATAGTATCTACCTGCTTGACAATTGGATTTATCAGGTCCGAGAGATCTGGAGGAACAAGTTGCAGGAAAGTTGCAGTAGTAGTGATTCCCTGCTTGAAGCATACTGCCGCCAAGTTGAGGCATGCACTCAGATAGCATTGAAATGTTTGGACAAAGAAAGTCAGAAAAGGCCTGACATAGTGAAGATCACCGAGAAGCTTAATGAGATTGAAATTGGTGTTGACAAGGTAATTAATATCATTTGTAAAGGCATATATACTGGGTATCTATGTCAGGGACATAGTCTTACTATATGTCCAATGATGTAATCAGTTCACTTTGTTTTGTTCTCCTAGCTTATTAGTAATTTCTTTCAAAAAGTGTTGATCACTACATGATTCAAGAGCCTAATAATGTTTCTTGAGCCTCTAGAACTGATATTCATTGTTTGAACCATATTGATAGATAAGGAGAAAGCTCAACTGTATGTGTAGGTTATCTTTTCTCTACAACTGTAAGCTACAAATTTTTAGATGCTAAATTATTTGTTGAAAGAACTATACTAATATAAAACGATTTATGGTGTAAATTTGAATTATCAACAACGCATTAAAGATGAAGCTCTTCTGCATGTTGGGAGAAAAAACAATCCACTGCACTATTTCTTTTACGAAGTGGTTTCTATTATATGGACATTGGTTTATCACTTACTTTGTGTGCACAGACAGAAAAGCTAAACTTTGCATACTAGTTTAACACTGCTTGCTGTACTCTCAGATTTTATTCCTGTTCCTCTAACTTCAAACTAATTGAAATTTTGCAGCTTGCCGAGAAAGGATGCAGCATAAGTTTTTCTGAAATGACAGTGCAGAATAACAGTATAGAGATGAGAAAGGAATCAAAGGATATCACAGTTCAGCACCAGAATACTGATCTATTGTCGAGCCCAAGTTGCACTAAGCTAGAACTTATTGATGCACGAGAAACATCAACAGATGTAGTAGAAGAACTCATAGTGGGGAGGGAACAAGAAAAAGGGAAAATAATAACTTCTTTACTTGAGAGCTCATCAAAAAAGATTTCCATCCTTCCCATACATGGTATTGGAGGCATTGGCAAGACAACTTTTGCAAGATTGATTCATAATGATCCAAAGTTCAAATGTTACTCTAAAGCATGGGTCCATGTGTCACAAAGATTTGACTTGAATAAAATTCATGAGTCTATTATTTCACAACTATCTGAAAAAGATTATCAGGCTAATGAAAGACATGTGGTACATAGTTCCGTCACAAAGCTACTTCCTGGTAAGAAGATTATAATTGTTTTAGATGACCTTTGGGAGGATAATCAGTTCCAGTTGATGGACTTGAAGGATATGCTATATCATGATGATAGCAATATAATTATTTTAGTAACAACACGAAGTGAGAGTGTTGCAGAGAGAATATGTACAAACCATCAACCATACAAGATATTACCCTTGACGAACAATATGTGCTGGGATATAATTAAACAAAGAAGTGGTTTTGAAGCTAGAGATGACAAAGAAAAGTTGAGAGGTATAGGACAGGAGGCTGAGAAGTGTGCTGGTGTGGCTTTAGCAGCTCAATCTCTAGGATTCACTTTGCGGGGCATGAATTTTGACCAATGGATGAAAGTGAAAGACAGTGATATATGGAAAGAACATATTTCAAAGGATATCTCTTTGCCAAATCATGTTGTTGCATCTTTGATGTTAAGTTATAGCTATATGGATCTATCTTTGAAGCAATGCTTTACCTATTGTGCAACCTTCCCAAAAGGTTACCCGATAGTTAAAAGTGATCTAATTTACCAATGGATTTCTTTAGGTTTCATAAAGCCAACAGAATTACTCTCGGTTATGGATCTCTGCAAGAAGTATATTATGCAGCTCCAAGGACTATCTTTCCTTCGAGAGCCACCCAAGGTATGTTATTTCTGCATACCAATACTACATTTTGAATTTTTGGTCTTCTCCTCTAATCAATTTAAAAGCAACTGACATACTACAAAAGCATGGTAATCATGAATTGGACTAGAACAAGCACACAATGTCAAAACTTACCATGTTTTAGATTGATAAAAGAAGTGGTGCTCAAGAGCCAATATTTTAGCCATCTAGTTGACAATAAAATTTATATTGCCATATGTTTCTTCACATGATTTATACATATTCATTATAGCCTATAGTTACATAAATTGATGGTAAATACATTGGAACATACTAAATGCGGAAAACAATTGTTTTTTAAGAAAATAATATACTCGGTATTTTGGGCCAATTGTAACATACTTGCACACACATGGTTAAAATTTGAAAAAAAAAATGTTAGAGGTATATAGAAATTGTGCATCATATTACTATGTTCTTTTAACACAAGCCATATCCGGCTATATACATAAATGGTCAACTGTCAAGGGCTTGCTCGGGGTGGCCGGCTAGGGCTGCAAAAAGATGTTGCTAAGCTTCCCTAGGTGATGGAGAAGCTGGATCTCCTCCCTTGGTGGCTTGTTTCTTCTTCTTGTCTCCTCCTCCTCCTAGCTCCAAATTGTGAGGATGAGACGACTCCTCCCTCTTCCAACCCCCACCTCTTGTGGTGTTCGAGCTCTAGGTGGCCTCCCTGGTGGTGAAGAGCTGTTGGTGCCTCCAATCCCTTCTCCTTCCTCCCCCTTGCTTTGCTTGAGTGTGTGAGAGAGTAGAGAGAGGGATGATCTAGAGAGAGAGGGAGAGGGAGAGTGAGTGGGAGAGGGCTGCTGGTGCTCTGGTTTGGTCATCCACAAGCTGGACAGTTGTGGGGTGGTGTGGGGCCAAAAGAAATTACAAAGTGACACCTAAGTGCTGCTGCATGGGCTGATTTGACAGACAGTCCATCAGAGATGGCGGATAGTGCGCCACTGTTCGAAGTGCACTGACTTAGCCTGACAACTATCAATCTATGCAAATGGCTCGACGAACACTCCGTCAATTATGACGAACACTCTGCCAAAACAAACAGTGAGCAATTTTAATTCAGTTTTTGCACAAGTTGATTTCCAAATTGAGATTGAAATGCATATGATGCTCATGATGAGTACGAAAAGTCATGATTGGATCATGGCATGATTTCTCATCCATAGCAATCAATGCCTTGGAGATGTGGAAGTTTTGGCCGTCGTCATGGTGAGCTGGCTGTGTTGGTATGGGTGGAGGGGGCATGGCAAAAAGTGGAGGTAGTCGGTGTTGCGCCCTCTCTTGGTGTCTGCTTCCGAGCTAGTCCCCTGTCAGGTCATTGGTGTCTCGATCTTGTGGTTGCTGGGCTGCATCGGCTATTGTTGCAATTTGTTTCTCATGCATCCATGCCCACATAATGGAGATCTCTAATTCTTGTGGGTTGTGTTTGGCCACCAAAGATCTGAAAGGTTCTTCTAACCCGTTGATGTAGATGTTTATCTATTGTTGCTTGTTGAACGTCTTGGTGTGCAACATATAGGTTTTGAAGCGGTTGGTGTAGTTGTCGACATTGCTGGTCTAGCGCGCCTCCCAAATTTGTCATTGTACATTGGGGTGGGGGGGGGGGCGCAAAGTGCTTGCTGATGGACTTGACGAAGTGCTCCCAATTAGAAAGTGGCGCATCTTTGCTGATGTGGTTGTACCATTGGCCTGCCGCAGCTGTCAGATGGAGTGCTGCGTACATGATCTTGTTCCTGTCGTTGTATGGCTGCCCTCGAAATAGCAGCTGTAGTCTTGTAGCCATGCCCATGGATCCGTGGAGCCATCATATATTGGAGTTGAGATTATAGCCTTGAATGGCTGCTGAGGCAGTGTGGTGATGTTGCTGTTGCTCCTGGTGTTGCTAGCGGTGCTGGCTTTTGCTGATCAGCAGATGCATGGCCTTATAGCCTCTAAGGCTATGCCGGTGAACAGGTTGTTGCTGACTTCCTGTATGATTTCTACCGTTGTTGATGAGTGAGGCTCCTCCAGTTTGGAGTCTAGGAATGCACGGCCTGAAGATGCCACGACATTCTTCGTGTCCACCTATAATTGCTTGATGGTAGTCGCATGTTATATCATGACAACTACTTCTTTTGTCGATGCACCGTGCACTGTGCGTGCTTTTTCGATGACGTTGAGCCGCCTGTCAACGGAAGTGAGGAAGTCCTAGATCTCGTTGAACTGGTTGCCGATGTGGTTGCAGAAGTTGTTGATCAATTGGCGAAGCTCATCGACGGGGGAGGGGTTGCCGACGGATTCCATCTGGTTATCGATTGTCATGGTGCAGGTGTGCCGAGGATTACACTAGTCTCCGCAAACCAGATGTTAAGGGTTTGCTCAAGGTGGCCAGCTAGGGGCGGCGCAGGTGGCGACATGGGCACGCCGAGCTGCTGGGGTGGCGATGCGGCTTGTGGGAGGTGGCATCGTTAGGGCGGAGGGGCGGTGCGGGAGAGAGGAGGAGAGGGCGGCGGCGTATGAGAGAGAGAGAGAGAGAGGAGAAGGGGGATAGGGGAAAGATTGCTTCTTTGCTTATGATTGAAAGGTTACATAGCCTCTCTATTTATAGTTCTGGGAGACTTAGCCCTTTTAAGCAATCTAAACTTATCTTACAAGAAACTACAGGAAGAGTCCTTATAGATTTGGACTGCTTCACTTACAAGCAAAACTTATTTGTTTCCTAATAAATTTTAGTATATTTTATCTAAGAAATTCTATATTTATTTTCAACACTCTTTCCCGACCTTCCCTTTTCGTTCTGGACCCCCTCGGATGTCAGGGTTCCGAGGAGCGGTGGCAGCCCGCCCCCTTGGCTATGCGCCCCTGCTGCCGTGCGCCAAGGGTTCCTAGGTTCGGTCAGGGCTAGGTCGTGGGCTCCTCCTAGCCCGCTTAGGCCGATGCTGGGCTCCTCCTTGAAGGTTGTGCTGTGTTTACAAATCTTGTACCATTCTACATGTATCACAAATCCTATGGATGCAATCCCCTTTAGCATCTGCTGCTATTTGTCCCTCCCCAAGAAACTAATGCACTGCAGACTCCACAGACGTGTCTCCCCACTAGCACCATGAGTCCTCATCGGTGCTTCCACACCAGGGCGTTGAGGAGGAGAATATTATATCTACCTGTAGTTTTTTTTTTATCACAGAAACTTTGTTTCCATTAACAACAAACTCCAGGTTTGTCCCTGGAGACTAGTTCAGATACAAAAGACGGTGGTAGGCTCATAAACACATGAGAGCCAGAGGTAATAACACACACACCATAAGCAGCTATACAATCGGCTACCTTGTTACAGATCCTAGAGCAAACAGAGATTCTACAACTGTTAAAGTGAAAATACATCAGTTCTCGGATCTGTATAAACAAAGCACCGAATGGGCTTCTATCCAACTCCGCCGATTTAAGGGCGCCGCCAAGCATAGATGCATCAGTTTCCAAAATCACATTGGTCATGCCCAATTGTGCAGCACGCTGCAAGGCATATAAAGCAGCTAGCGCCTCTGCTTGTAGGGGACAGGTAACACGGGAAATATTTCTGACACCTCCTTCAAGAAATTGTCCCATACTATTTCGAATAATAAAGCCCCATCCTCCTTTTTTCAAATCAGCATGAAAAGATGCATAAATATTAATTTTGTATATGTCATCTGGGGGTGGTCTCCAGCATTCCTTCTTGTTCAGCTTATTACTCTCCTTTTCATCCTTCCTCAGTTTTTCAAACTCTATCCGATGATACGCCACTGAATGGCACACTTCAGCTTAGTAGCCATTCTCTCGCCTGCATTTGCTTTGTTCCGAGCTGACCACTACTTCCAAAGATGGACCCAAATTTTTAACTGTTCCTTTTCCTTAAAACTCCATATTTTCTCAATCACTTCTTTGCCTGATCTGCAGGTTTCCAGTAACTTCCTTACATTTTCCATGTACAATTTCCTCCAACACAGTTTAACTGTTTTGCAGTTGAAAAATAAATGGCCACAATCTTCATCTAATCTGTAGCAAATAGGACAACGGGTGTCAAGCTTGACTCCCCGCCTTGCAATATTCCTTCTCAGCGGCAAGCTGTTATGAGCAAAGTGCCACAAGAACATCGTGATCTTATTTGTAATATTAAGCTGCCACAATTTTCCCCACCTAAAGCCATATGCATTCTGATTTTCCGCCATTGACGTAGAAGCATCAGTCCCCTTCTGCTGATCACGGATTTGAACTGCTAGCTTATATGCTGATTTTACAGAGAAAACACCTTTTGAGTCATAGTGCCAAGCAGGCCAGTCAACAGCTTCATGATCAGTAGGAATCATAAGAATTGCCTCTGCATCCTCAGGCCAGAAAATATCAGTGATTAAACTTTCATCCCATGTTCCTGTGCTCGGGTCCATAAGGTCAGATACTTTTGTTACAAGAGAACCACCTCTCGGGGTTATTGGTCTTTTGGTAGTTCCTCTTGGGATCCAGGGATCAGTCCAGATATTAACATTGGAACCAGACACAACCCTCTAAATAATTCCTTCGTTTAGCAGATTAATTCCATCAATTATGCTCCTCCATGTATAAGAGATTTCAACTCGAGCCTTTTTTCTCGAACATGCAGGAGAGCTATGTATCTTTGTATTATAGGAAAAGAGAGTAGTCCATACAAGAACCCCTCTTACTACCCTCTTAGTAGGACCAATGTAAGAGGGGGTAAAACAAAAGAAAAAAGAAAAAAAAAACTTTTTAAGATTACAAATAATCGACCCGACTATACAAATACACTGGGCCTATAACCCAAGACGCCCGAGTTGTAGGTTCTGGAGGTTTCTTGCCCCTGCCAGAACCCAGAGATGACCCTCCAGTTGCAAGTTTCTCATAGACCAAGTCCCCAAGGACCTGACGACGGGGTTGGGGAGCACGACGTTTTCGTCTCCGATTAGCACGGGATTCAACCTCCTGCCATCCACTAGGTCCACGCGGAGGGACGCGAGGCCACGTCGCGGACCTGGCTAGGTACCGGAGGAGCACAATCCTCGGACAAGACGATGAGTCCGCCGCCACCATTGAAGTGTGGCCCCAACCAATCCAGTCGCCCCTGCCGCCGAACCAGCAGTTGCAGCAGGAGCCTGCGCCGAGGAGAGGAGCGCATCACAATAGGAAGGCGGCGGGCCGCCAGAAGCCAAAGAGCCTGCCGGGCTTCCGTCACACCAACACTCTAGTTTCGAGCGGCCGTGTGGTGAGAACGGAGGTGCTATGGGAGACAATGGGGAGGTGGACACCGACGTTGTGGGGATGGGAGGGACGGCCACTTTCAATGCCGAGGAGGTGGTCGCCGGGTCCTAGGTGGACGCCGACGAGGGGCTGAGGGGAGGTGAGACGACGGGAGCTAAGAACACATTTCGTCCTAACTCGAGCCTTACATTGTCGAATATTTGAGTTGGGGAATATCTCGCGTTAAGAACCCGCCCACATAAAGTATATGGTTCTATTAGGGGGGCCATGCTTGACGGGCCAAGATTGCTAAGTTAAAATGATACAGATCTCGAAATCCCAATCCCCCATTTTCTTTGATAGAGTTAGCTTTTCCCAACTGAGCCAATGAATTTTATTAGTTTTGTCTTGTTGGCTCCACCAATACCACCTGACCATTGAACTCAAATCATCGCAGAAACTTTTTGTAAGATTGAAACAGGACATCGCATAGGTCAGGATGCTTGGGCCACTGCCTTGATAAGGATTTCTTTACCCGCCTTGGATAGCAATTTCTCTTGCCAACCTTGAATCTTTGCCCATATGCGTTGTTTGATATATTCAAAAGCTTTCTTCCTTGACTTACCTACAGAGATAGGCAGCCCCAAATACTTTTCACTTCGTGCTTCTTGCACAATTGACAGTTCCTTTCTCATTTCACCTTTAATGCAATCTGTAGTATTGGGACTGAACATGATGGAAGATTTGTCCTTATTAATTACCTGGCCCGAAGCTCTTTCATAAATTTCAAGAATATGCTTTAGTACATGTGCATCTTCTTTTTTGGCCCTCATTAGCATGAGTGAATCATCTGCAAAGAAAATATGGTTCACCCTTGGTGCCCCCTGCAAATTTTAATTCCCTCAATTTTTCTAGCATTTTCAGCACTTTGAAGCATGGCTGACAGGGGGGGGTCACCCTGCCTTAAACCTCTTCGTGGGAATATTTGATCAGTATATTCACCATTAACATTAATACGATAGGATACTGTAGTGACACATTTCATGATTAGATGAATCTATTTATCATGAAACCCCAATTTTTGCATCATGCCCTGCAAGAATGTCCATTCTACCCTGTCATATGCCTTACTCATATCCAATATAAGTCTCACCCTAAATCTCTTCGACCAAAATGGCGATCTCGGCGGCTTTGGTGAAGCTCTTCCTCCATGGCATCCCTGCTTGAGCCCTGTTGCCCATGGAGGCTCCACCCCTCAATCCCAGGCCTGGCCGTGTGATTGAGGCCGAGGTTCTTCATCGTTTCCGTTCCCCAATCAACTTTGTCCCTTTTTCCTTGTTGCAAGAATTTTTCCTCGTTCTCTCTGTGGGAAGATGCAAATTCTGCCTCACCACTCAATCAATTGGGGCCTTGCTCCAATCTGTGCTTGGCGGTCATTCTCATGCCTTTCGTGTGGTGCAGTTGGGTGATCGAGTTTTTAGGTTCTCCGTTTCATCAAAGTCAGTGGGCCTTCAATCGTCAAGCTCCGCTCGTTCGAATGCTCAGACTGCAAGATCTTCCATCTCTGGCATGATGGTGGACCGAATTATGTGACTGAGCTGCGCAATTGGGAAGCAGAGCAAGCATCTGAATGGTCAGAAGTGGTCAAGCATGGCCGTCCTCTTCAGCATCAGCCTATTCTTACAGGTGCCAATGCTATTCCCGTTCATGATCATCGTCGTCTTCCTCTAGCTTCGTCTCCCATGGAGTTTTCAAATTTTAAATCTGGCATTAATACTGCTCGGAAATAAGCTCTTAAGCGTATTAATTTTGGTAATCAAGGCTCTTTGTCCCTCAGCTCTATTGCTCAATGACTATCAATTCCTAAGGCCGCTGACCAGTAGTTTTTGCATGCGGGCATTCTTGGCCCAGTGCCTGATCCACGTAAGAATCCATCCTTTAAGCCTGCCATTAATCTATGCCACAAATATTTGTCCCTGGCCCATGAATGGCCTTATTGTAACGGCCCATTTAGATGCCGCAAATGTCTCCAGCCAGGGCACATTTCTAGAAAATGCAATTTTGCACCTCGATCATCGCGCCAAGCACCCGACCCTTTAGCTTCTTGAAATCATCGTGATCACTAGCTGTCAGGTGGGCCATCGCCCCACTCTAGATCCACGTAAGAATC